AATCAAAACTTTTAAGATTTCATCTTACCCCAGTCAGAATGGCTTAACAAGAGAACAAATGATACCAAATGCTGTGGAGGATGCGGGGAAAGGAGAGTGCTCACCCACTGTTGGTGGGATTGCAAACTGGTGCAACCACTGGAAATCAGTCTGAAGAACTCTTTAAAAACTAAAAATAAATCTACTCTATGATCCAGTTATACCACTCCACATCCTACTGCACAGATATTTGCACAGTCATGTTTGTTGCTGCTCTTTGCACAGTAGCTAGGAATTGGAAACAACCTAAATGTCCCTTAACTGATGAATGGATAATGAAAATCTGGTACATTTACACAATGGATTTCTACTCAACAGTAAAGAAAAATGAAATCGTGAAATTTGCAGGTAGAAGGACATACCTAGAAGTTGTTCTACTAAGTGAAGTAACACAAACTCAGAAAAACAAGCAATGTGTGTTCTTTCTCATTTGTGGATCTTAGCTCCAAATTCTTAGATGTGAGTATATATCCTGATGTAACCGTAGGTGGCAGGAAAATGGAAAGAACCCATGATGGTAAAGGGGAAGAGGAGCTCCAGAGAGTGGGGACTTTAACTGGGGAGGGAGGGTTATACAAGGGGAGACAAAAGAGAGATAAATAATGCTTAGATGGTATGAAAAACCTGAGGGAAATACATTAGTTCAAAAGCCTACTGAAAATACACATTAAAAAGTATATACCAGTGCATATGTATGGCTGAAGGCAATATAACAAAAAAACAGTACCAGGCAGAAGAAATCATCCTTCAAGTTGTTGGTCAGGGTAATCCAAGAGCCTCCCAAAATAATACAGGCTATTGCCACAGCCCTTGATTGCCTCCCAGAACTTAAAGGTAAGACTCTATTGTTAAAGACAGAACATACACCAGACACAGGACTTGGAGCAATTGAGCTGGAATTGACCTGGAAGCCTCCTTCCTAAAGACTAGCTCTCTTAGTATATCACAGGATACTATGCAAACTGCCAAGGAAGAAAACCAGTCAATGGTCCCACCCACTGTAAAGCCTAAAAAACACAATGACTAGCCCAGAAAACTATCTCTATTAGTACAGTAGTGGCACTTTAGTCTTGGTTGTTGGGAAACCCTGCTGTTAGGGTTGTAGTTCTCCATGTCCGGATAGCCCTAAGGGGCTCGGTGCCAAATGGAAGGACTCCCCTTTTCAGCAGGGGGCCTCCTGCTCTCTTCCTGGCTTACCTGCCACCAAGCATGGATGCCTGACCTTATTTGGAACATGACCTTTGGCACAGTTACCTGGAGTAAAAACTACCCCCAGGTTTTTTCTATATGATAATCAGGCATTGCCTGATAGTCGGACATAGGAGCCCACTGCCACATGTAAATAAAGCATACTATGAGCACCTATCAGCTGAGGCTTTGGCTACTGCCTCCACACTATAATTTCTCTAGTTCTCCCACTGAATAAACGGAGCTGTTTCACTGAGTCTGGAGCTGTTTTTACTGAATCACTGCATCTAGAGCTGTTTCTGTTTCACTGCGTCGTGGAAACTGCCTCCCCGGAAGGGCTTTCTTCCATCAGTGCTCACTGGCCGTCCTGACTCCGTTCGTCGCTTCTGCTCCCCCTGCCCTCGTGGACCAGTGGCCAATGACCCATGAAGAGAGGGAGAGACCCCTGCATTGGTGATAATCAACAGCTGTCTAATTGGACATAAGGCCTGCTCAATAGGAGGGAACTCGTGTAGTACTGTGAACATAACCTAATACACACAGCTGGAGAGATCACAGATCCTAGGTAAAACCCTACTTTTGTCACAGTCTTAAACTAATGTAATTTTCTACTGTATTCTGAATATGTATCCTTATATTTACTGACAAGTGTACTTTCACCACCCATCAAAAAAGCAACCAATGGAGACTATTGCAGAGTTCAAGAACTGGTCAAATGCAGAGAATAAGTATCTGTGAGATACCCAGAACTGACACATCTATTATGAAATTTCTACCCCTAAGGCTTAGGGAACATAGCAGAACAGAGGGCAAAAAATATTAATGTATCCCTCAACTCTCACCAGTAAAGCTTCTTCATGCAACAGATGGTGATTAACCCAGAAAGCCACAACTGACCAAAGTACACAGAATAAGAGATGGCAGAGTGCTCTGCCACCCAGGGTTCAGGGACCATTGAGGAAGATGGGGCAGAAAGACTTAAAAAGCCTGGGGTAGTAGAGACCAGAAAGAAACCACAAGAGTTTTTCAGGCAGCTGGGAACTTGCTCATATGAACTTTCAGCAATGGTGACAGTATGCACAAGACCCATGCAAGTTCCAATCAGACAACCCAGCATAGAAGTAGGGAAATGGGTAAGATATCCTAACCTTAGCTGAGGAACTATTGGTAACCAAAGACTAATGGGAAAGGCAGAGTTGTTTTTAAGGAAGTCACACTAGATAGGTTGATCAGGCTCCAGTGGATGGACTCACACTGAGGAACAATTGGGGACACAAACTTGACTCAATAGGCCTTAACATATATGACAGAATTCATATAATCCAATGGGAACTCTATGTGAGGGGTGCAGACAGGGGAGAGGGGGTCTAAATATAATCAAGATATATTGAATGAAATTCACAAAAAATCAATTAAATAGAAAATATTGGGACTTCTGAGGCAGTTATCAAAAACAAAATAAAAAGCACTTAGTGTCTTTTGGGGGCTGGAGAGATGGCTCAGCAGTCAAGAGCACTGGCTGCTCTGGTAGAGGACCAGGGTTTGGTTCCTAGCACTCCATATGGCGGCTAACAACTGTCTGAGTAACTCCAGTTCCAAGAACTCCAACACCCTCTTCTGACCTCCATGGGGATTGCAAAAGAGGAGTGCACTCACATACATGCAGACAATATATTCATACACATAAAATAAAAACAAATATTTTTTAAAAGAATAATTTAGTGTCTATTTTTTCATCTCTCATTTACAAACTGATTAAAGTTCTGTTTTTGATTGGCATGTGAGGCAGCTGCAGCCTTGCCTCTTGGAGCACAAGCCTCCCAAAGGAAGACAGGGAACTCTACAGTATGGAAGGCTGACCATGGTATGGTATCCCTTGCTTTACTTAACATTCACTTAACAACACATGCAGTGGGCTCACCTGGTTTGACTAGGTTCACCAGTTATCTCACTGTAAGTAAACACACTTTCACCTACTGTGGTGGCTGACCAGGCTGATCTATACATCACCCTGTGTCCTTCAAAGACTAAGAACAGAGCTCACCTAAACTTTGGGCAATTAGGTCAATCAAGAAAACAGCCTGAATTGAATTGTTGAATTGTACACGGAGACAAGGACCAAGAAAAAAAAAAACCAGAAATTCAAATCAATTTACATATGTGGCTACTCAAGAAAATACTCTTCCAAGCATCACGACATAGATTTTGGCATGTAATATTTGGCATCCTGTCATAGCTGCTGCTGAAGAACATATATGGTAAATTATATGCTGTGGAATTCTTTATCCAATTAAGCACCTTAAGTCGCATTCTTCACCCCTAACAGAATATACACCTTTTGTCTCTTACCAGCCTTAATTGCATGGATGGGGAGGAATGGAGAATAATGAATAGGAAAAGATGGAAATTAGTATTTATTGAGTGTCCTTAGGCTGCTAAACAATCTCACTTTGTGTTTTAGTTAAGCCTCTCTGAAGAAGTTATCATTGCAAATTTACAGAGGCAAAATCAAGACCCAGAGAAGTAACTTGTGCAAATGGAAGACATCACTGGGATTTGAAGCCCTAGTCCAGCTGACCTCTAAGTCATGGGCTCCACATCACCCGAAACTGTATTACTGGCTCTCAACCCAACACCACCGTCTGTCAAAGGCCATTCACTGCCTTTTGGGATCTCCCGGATCTTCAAGTACACCTCCCCCTTAAAAACCACAGTCGCAGCAGCCCCAGGCCTTCAGGCCCTTGTCCCATCCACCCTGGGTACCAGGCATGATCAGGCAGAAGAGGGGCAGTCGAGGAGCTTGGAAATGAGGAAGATGAAGAAGGAACAGACCATTAGCAACCAGCCTCCCCACCACCTGAGCAAGGGGACCAGTGAGGAGTCTCCTGGACCCTGGATTGCCCCTGGAGCATTAATCTAAAGCTGCCAAACAGTTCATCATGCAATTGTCAGCAACAATGTTATTTTGGCCACGCAGAGAATGAAGTTAACGCTTCAGAATTTAATCCGAAAACCACAGCCATGCAATGCCTGTGATTTTGAATTTCTCTTACATTAAAAAAAGGAGAAGGGGCTGGGCGTGGTGCAGAGGCAGGTGGATCTCTGTGTATTGGCCAGCTCTACAAAGTGAGTTCCAGTTGGCGGGGGAACCCCTTTTAAAAAAAAAAAAAAAAAAAAAAAAAAAAAAAAAAAAAAAAAAAAGAAGGGGAAAGCGGAAGGAGGGGGGAGAGGAAGGTAGGTGTGTGGTAAGTATAGGTGCTCAAGCATGTAAAATATCTGATTATGTTCTTAGTAATCTGGAAGGTCTGAAAAATGCCATGGAAATATAAAGCACTTCTCCCGATTTGGGCTCAGAATGTTAAGCTCCTTTATGGTGGGATTTAAGGAAAAGGCCAGGAATCCCCAAGAGGAGAAGATCCCCAGCGCCCCTCCCTTCGGGTACAAGCAGCCAAGTAACTCCTGGGCTGGGGAAGGGGCAGAACTAAAAGGGCTCGGAAGGGAAGCCTCGAGAGTGGGTCCTTCTGCCGGTCAGACGGCCGACTTTAAAACTCCAAGTGCCGGAGTGCAGGCCCCGGGGTGGGCGCTGCAAGCTGGGCCTCGGCAAAGCCGGGCCGGGCCGAGCCCTTGTCCTCCGCGGCCGCCCAGCTCTGGAACCCGCCCGGGGTCGCTGAGGGCGGCCCGGCCCGACTTTCCCGCGGCCTGCACCGCGCTCGCCGTACCGCCGCCCAACCTCCCCTGCCGGCCGAGTCGGGAAGGGAAGTTGAAGCGCGTACCTCCGAGCAACCCGCGCGGCCCGCAGAGCCCCAGGCAGGCGGCGAGCAGCACCAGGAGGCGGGCTCCGCGTCTCCCCATCCCACCGAGGAGCCGTCTCCCCGGCCGCGCCGAGCTCTACCTGCGCCTGCCGCTCGCCCTCCGCGCTCCCGGAGCCAGCAGAGGGGCGGCGTCCCCAGCCGCGCGCCCGGAGTGGGCGGGACGCTTCTGCAACCTGCAGCTGTTGTGCCCGTCAACGTGCGGGGATCTGCGGCCTCGGGTCGCTCTTTCCCAGGTGGAATCCAAACGGCCTGGAGTGGGGGCTCCAGCGCCAGGCAGGCGACAAAGGGGACAAAGAGTCGTGGCCCCCTTATCCTGCTTGCCGATCTGCTGCGGAGCTAGTGTGCTAAGGAAGCAGGTGACTGCCGGGACAGCGAAGGCTGGAGGAGGTGGTGGGCCTGGACTTGGGATCCTAGTCTGACCTTGAAGCAGCTGGTTCCCTAACCAGAGTCCCCTCCAGGGGCTTGTTTTCCTTTGCCCTATCCCAGTAGAGAGGGGGTGGCCTAATTATTCCTTTGCAACTGTGAGCCTTGTTTTTGTTTCTTGTAAAGCTTGTTCCCTAATTTAATCTTTGAATTTTTGAAGCAACTACCTGTCAGAAGAATTAAGGTTCAAAATTAGAGATGTGGTGGCTATCATTCCCTACCTTGGAGCCGGTGATCACATGCCATAGAGAGGACAAGCCCCCATTCAGTGCCTGAAGAGATTGACAGAGAGGACCCTAGAATTTTCCAGAATGAGCTTCCCTGGGCTACCTTTCTTCTGCTGTGTTCTCTGCAACACTGGTGTTTGTTAAAAATGCCCGTTTATGACCTAAGGGACAGTGGGCACTAGTGCTCCTTTGTTCCTAATAAAATGCATGATGACTTCATTTCCCTTTCATTCCCTTTTTTAGCTCTATAATAAAGTGCTTTTTAAGCATAGGATCACATTTTGACCTTTTCTTCAGCAGATAATCTGTGAGGCCACTGTTTACTTCTGAGAGGACGTGTTTGTCTATCCAGCAGCCTTCCATTATCCCAAGAGCCTCACCCTTCTTTAGATGAACTGTGCTCTACTCCCTGCCCTCACCATGTGAGGGAAATAGGATTGGGCATACACTTCCAAGACTTTCCCCTCCAGAATGAGGGGCAGGGAGTCCATATTTGACCCAAGCAAAACCAGTAATTTCCAGTCTGAAGATTTCCACAGAGGTGTCTAAGAAACAGGGTCTGTTCCTCTCCAGAGGGGACATAGAGAAACCGCAGGTAACCCAGGTCTCTGCCCTCTCAAATGAGCTAGTGCATCCCTGAAACCAGCTATACCGTAACCCTTTTAGGATTTTTTTTTTTCCATAAGCCATTCAAGTCCCCTTTTAATCTAAGCTAGCTGGAGTTGAGTTCCATGCTTGTAAGTAAAAGAACCCTGCCAACTTGGGTCTGAACATAATTTATATCTCAGAAACTTTGAGTTGAATTCTGTAGATGTATTAGTTGGTTTTCTGTCACTGGAAGGAGGAAGGTTTATTTGGCTCATGGCTTCTGGGGTTTCAGGCCATGGTCAGTTGGTTCTACTGCTTTTAGGCCTCTGGCCAGGCAGAAACATGGTAGGGGAAGGACAGGACTGAGAAAACTTCATTTCACAGCAGTCAGGAAGCAGAGCACAAGAGAGTAAGAGCCTGAAGACAACATATACCCTTCAAAAACACACTCCCACTGTCCTACTTCCTCTACGTAGGGCCCCACCATCTAAGAGCTCATTCAGCTATGAACTGATTGATGTGTGAATCCCTTATGATTCAATGTGCTCTCAATAGTGACTGGAGCTGGGGAACAAGCCTTTAACATGAGAGTCTTTGGGGGACTGGAGTGGGGGGTAGGGGGAATATTTCATATCTGAACCATGAGAACAAGTCATGTATTTGCAAGTCCTGAGGCAAACAGTAGACATCCAACTGACTGACAACAGACTTCAGCATGCAGTTAAGGCTAATGCCTATCAGGGTTCCTGTAGTATCTACAGGCGGTTGAAGTTTTCTTGCAAGTACCCATAGATCTCTGCATGGGTACAGAACATGCTTGACCCATGTATGCCCCCTAAGCAGACCTGAAGTGAATGCTCATAGGAGCAGACCTCAACCACTGATGGGAAGAAGCTAATGGAAAAATATCCAAGCTTCCTCACCTTGGAATAGGACAACTCCAAGATGGGCTCTAATAGGCCTAGAGGCTTGCATTCTGGCAGTCTATAGCAATGTGCTTATTAATGTAGGCACTTAGAGGAACCTCTTCCCCGTATTGTTAAAAATTCTGCAGTTAAAAGGAACTTCTGAGACTGATCTTAAAGAATTGATGTCACAAGTTAAGAATATTCTAGTCACTGGTTTTGCATCCCAGACTAACCTCAGAGCCTGAAGTCAGATTGCTCACCTTCTCTTGGCCTCAAATCCATGCCTACCATACTGTCTTTCCTGCAAAATGGACATAATAATAGCTTCTACTTCATATGGTGGTTGTGAAGATTCGTTGAGCTATTTTGAAGTTCTAGATTAGAGCCAAAATAAGAGAGACCCTGTGGAGATCTGAGGTTGTTTCATCCCTAATACAAACGAATCCAGCTCCCTTGTTTTATACAACTTCTGCTCTGGCTACAAGAACAACAGTAGTAGTTTTGTAGTCTCAAACTTCAGCGTTTGAAGATTCTAAACTACAGACTCCCAGGCCTGGTAAGAAGCCTTAATCCTTCCTTGGCAGGTGGAATTCTCCCCTGGCCTCTCTGTACTCATCCTTATCTAGTTCTTTTGTTTCCTCTCTCCCTCCCGGCAAGAAACAGTAATCAACAGGCCAATACGCAGCTAAAAGGAGAATTAGCCAAAAAGGAATTTGTTTTTCCAGGCTCTGTGCAAGCCAGCTGCTTTTAGCCACTATGGTTTCTCACCATTCACAGCACATTGTAAGCCAAACACAAACTAGAGCTCTTTTTCTTCCTTCTTAAGATCACATCAGATTCTAGTCCTCCAAGCTTTGGCTTTCTAGGCTTTGCATTTTAAATACAAGGTGATAAGTACAAATGTTAACCCAGGCTGACTCAGGCTGACCCAGGCTGACCCGGGCTGACTCTCTCCTACCAAAGCACTGCAGGTACAGTTTGTGACAGGGTCTTCCCAGGCTGAGAGGCCAATTCAGCTCAGGTTTTCTAGGCATGAAGAATTTCTCCTGGAAGGCTCAGATATCTATGCTAGTCTAAGAGCACAGACAGCATGGAGCGAGATTCCCAGAGAGGGCCACATTGTCACTGATGTCTTCCGAAGGGGTCTGCAGTCCATTATTATATCTGGCTAAGAACATGAACTTGGTGTTTGGAAAAACTAGTAGAAATCTATTGTGTGACACTTCTCCTGTAGAGACATGGCAAACATCTACTCACCCCGGATAGGGAGCCAACAACACACCAAAGGATACCACCAAACTCCAACTTGGTGAACCAATGAGTTTTACTGGGGTTGCTTACAGGAATATGGGTGAAGTATTACAGGAACAGAAATGACTCAAAGACAGCTGCCTCACCAGAAGCCCACCCCAGCATGGGCAACAGCTCACAAAAACAGGAAACCTGGAGCACACTGCACAGCCTGCCAGCAACCCAACAGCTTGGAGAGTGTCTTTTCCGGGTAGCTCAGCTGGTCTGAGCCTCTTGTAGGCAGCTCAGCTTGTCTGAGAATCTTCTCAGCAGTCCTTACTGCTTTTGCATAGGCTTAGGGAGAAAGGATCATAGTGTATTTGGTAAAAGTTTTAGGAACTTCCTGAAGCCTTTGAGTTGTTTACTTCCTGAGCTTAACAAACTTCCCTGCAGGATGGAATGTTTACCTTTCCTTAGAATATCCTTAGCTTCCTTCCAAGATAGAAATGTTTATCTTAGATGAAACTGCCACACAACAAAATTCTAGCTTTGATACCCTTAAGTGACATTGGTATGTGACCTTGGACACATCACTTAAATGTCTGAATTATCTCCTTGTCTAAATTGAAGATCCCATAAGGCCTGCAATATGGCTTTGCAAACTCGTGATTAAGTGTTAAGGTATGTAGTTCATGGTATAATTTCACCAGATACTAGAATGCTTGGGAGCCCAACCAGGCCCATCAGACTCCTCTGCCAGCCTCCAAGCATCCTGGTCTTAGCTTTCCTTTAGGATAGAGGACTAGTTTATTTTCCTTCCAGAGACTTAGGCATATGGACCGTTAAAGTCTACTCCCATTACCCATGCTAGTGGTCTGCAGCATTCTCCAACCACCACCCACAATAGTGGTGATTTTCTTGGTGCTGAAGAACCAGGTAGGGTAGAGGGAGCCATACCTCTGGTCCTAGATATATACTAAGTCACATCACTATCCCAGCCTGTTTCCTCCCCAATAAGATGAACGGGATTGATTAAATAAATTCCCCTCAGGCTCAACATCTTACAATTCTAATTAGTTATCATTGGTATTGGGACAGCTCTGCCATTTAAATAGAGCCCTTTTAATTAGCACACGGGAAAACTTTAAACATTTGAATTCCTTACACATACTAAGGCAGTGATTGCTAATAAACTCAGAGCTTTTAATTTAGAGAAAATGTTTAAAGTGTCAGAAAGTGAACAGTAGGAATTATCTCCCTGTAGAGTATCACTTGTTCCTCTTTTTAAAATTACTTCTAATCTACCACTTAAATGCCTCAAAGATTGAATGTGGTCTCTAGCCAATTTCCATAGAAGTTAAGATGGCTCTAAAATAAGGAGAAATTAAAATCCTCACAGTTTTTATGAGAAATCTATTGTTTATGGTGACTTTAAATCTGTTTCTTTATAGTGTCTATTCAAAAATCAATCCACATGAAGGTCACATTCTAATTAACTGGCAACAACCATAGGAATTACTCTATTTAGATACGGATATGAACACTTTTCATTCAAAAATGATGCTATAAAAAGCACAGCACAAACGTGAGGATATGCATTGATTCAACAAATAGTAATTGAATTCTTCTGTAAGCAAAAGAAAATGAAATATTTCAATTTGAATTCTCTACTTTCAAGGAAATTGCAGTGGACAGTGGAGTCTAAGGC